TAAGACGTTTCTAAATGGCAACCGCGGCTGTGGCGTCCGGCAAATCAACGAATTCGAGGACGAATTAGCTAGGCTGAACGAGCTTAAGCGACAGAATTTACATTTGTTTGTGGAAGATGCGCGATGCAAGCTGCAGGAGCTATGGGATACGCTATACTTCTCAGAGGATGAGATGCTCGAATTTACGCCGGCTTTCTCTGACGTTTACAGTGATGCGCTACTAGAAGCTCACGAGCGCGAGATCACTCGGCTTGAGACTTTAAAGGAACAGCGAGCGCCTACCCTAGCCTTAGTTGACAAGCATCGTACTCTTGTTCACGACCGAGATGAGCTTGCAGCATCTAGTCAAGACGCATCCCGACTTATGATGCGTGGTCAAAAGGGAGAAAGGCGAGACCCAGGAAAGTTATTGCGCGAGGAGAAGATGCGAAAGAGAATTGCCAAAGAGCTTCCTAAAGTCGCAGCGGAGCTTGCCAAGTTGCTAGAAGAATGGGAGGATGAATACGGCCGCCCATTCCTTGTATATGGGGAGAGGTACCTCGATCTTCTAGAACCCGAAGCTCCCAGACAGGCTCCGGGCCCAAGATCGAAGACCCCTGCAGGCCCTCCGCCATCGGCAAACAAGGCACAGAAACCAGCGCCGCCACCTAGCCGCACCAACAGCAATGCTAGCAAAGCAGGTACTTTTCCAAGATCGAAAACGCCGATAGTGAACGGCAACGGTAATGGCACAATCAGGAGAGCGCCTCCTGGTATGCAAGCACCCAAAGACCCGAAGGGTAGCCCATCCAGGATACCAGCTCGCGCTCCTTTGTCTAATCTGAAGCATGGTAACAACTCCCCCGAAAGACCTCGGCCGGAATCGCGAGCCCAAGGCGTACTACGACCTGGACACCCGCTCTCGCGCGCTCCTCCGCCTAAGATGAGAGACTTAAACTCGCCTCCCGAGTTAGAGACCCCGGTAAACCCCTACCGAAACGTCGGACTTGGTTCAAGCACCCATATCCGAGCTGTTGAGCCGGACGATGTATATGATGATCGAGCATACGAGCGAGACTCGTACCAAGCTTATGCAAGGTCTCACTCACATCAAGATCCGCACATGTCTATACAAAGTGAGCGACTTGCGCAGTCATCCTACCCTCAAGCACCTCCTCCGAGACAAATTTCAAATACGTCTACGGTGGTAACTGGTTCCGAAAACTGGGAGACGTACGACGATAATTCGGAGCCGGAGGCGGACGCATCTGATGCGTACTACGCCAAGGTACGAGCAGCAAGAGGAAAGCGGTTCACACCAGAAGACCCGTACTCGCGGCAGCAAGCAAATGTACCGAAGCGATATCGAGGCATTCCGCCTCAAGCGCAACCCGGGCACGGTACGATAGACGCTGAAGGCAATCGTATCATTTCGGGCAGTGAGTGGACTGATGAAGATGCCTACTGAGCATTTCACTATTCTTCCTACTGAACCATTAACGAGCGATAACGAGCAATTACGAGCTTTGAAAAGTTACGCAACTCACCGTTACGATTTATGTGACGCTTCTCACAACCTGTCAGCGATGGCGCTCTTCCGGATTCTTTCACATAATATTCTTGGTCACATTTTGGCACTGTTTCTGATTTGCACACACTGGTTTTTGCTTCTTGCCTCTTATTCCGCTTCTTGTATTTGTCTTTAATTGCATTATGATGTCGTTCGCCGCGAGGCCACCTTGGTGGGGGTCCTAGCTTGGCAAACTTGACGTTTGTCAAAGCTGGTCGATAGCGCATAGCACCCAAATCGTGGTACTCATGATAGCTCTAACTTGCCTGGAATTACATACTCTCTGTTGGAACATAATCGGAAAGGGGATGGTAGGCGGAGGGTAAGCAAGCAGCTAAAGGGGGTGAGGAACATTGGAATCGGCGTCGGTTCATAAGGCGTTCAAGATGGAGGGCGAATAGGCATGTTGAGATTCATATTCCGGCTCCTTTCGTCGTAGCTGAAATTAAAGATCTGGCTTGAAGCCGGTATTTCTTCTTAAACATAAAACTACCTACCATACATATGTAGTCTTAGTGAATGTAAAAGTACCCATGTTTAAATTGCTAAAGTTGAGCCTACATGAGGTATCGACGATATGCAGTGGCACTGCAGATTAGAGCACAGCAAGGTTCATTAGGTGCATGTAGTGTATGTACATACCCCTGATGTAAGACCCCAGACAACGGAAGTCGGGGTTCTCTAGCGTATTATTTTATGATACGAAACCTTATCAGATGGCCTTGTTTCAGCTTTCAGCCCTATCTCCCAACCCTCTCGTAGCTTTACTCCATTAGCCCCTGCTTCGAAATAGTTAACTGCCTAACCTAATCCTTCCATCCTACAACTACCATGTAGGATTTTCTCATTGTCCAGATGACACTTATTGCGCAACAATATATCGACAGTAGCTTTATATCTTACCTATAAACGGCTTGCCTATAAATGAACCCCTTTTCCTCTAGCCTCCAACCTAGGCGGTCTCCTCCTATCAACGGGCCTCATGAATGGATCAGGGGCCCTTAATCGGAGCCGATTGCCGCCGAACTCATCGGAAAATAACGATGACACTTCCTATAATGCCGCCTTAAAAGGTGCTTCACTCGCCTTCCAAAAGTCTACGCCGAGACAATTGCCTACGACCACCGCCCCTGCTCGAAATGTCGATAACCGAGCTCTTATCGCAGCCACCTCGGCTTCACGAGATCATTCCCGGGCAGCTAGCCGACAGAATACGGGTAGCAACAGCATCCACGGTGCAAACAGTGGCCTTGAACACGAACGGATAAAAACCCAGCCTTCAGTACAGAACTTACAGCCACCCTTGAATCGCAACCATGACAGCTCCTCCTCCTTGGGGTTTGCGAGTAAGCAAACTACGCCAGATCCTCGTTCTCCATCCTTCATAGCTGCAACCTTGGCCGCCAGCAGATCTACTAGTCCTGCCCATCATCATCAGACAGCTCAATCGAGTCCGCACGCCCAGCAGCCAGTTAGGGGACAACCGAAATATAGCACCGATGCCAACAGCGCCGCCAGTTCAGCGACGAGCCTCGACTTAGCAACAGATATAACCTCAATCCCTCCTACGAACGCTCTTATATCGATGTTTGAGAAGAAGAAGAGAGATGATACAGATCCTGTTAAGAAAGATGTGGAAGCATCGGAGAGTTCGAAACCGCTTGGAATAAAATCTATGGCTCGACCTCTGACCCCACCAAGGACCTCGAGTTCTATTTCTAAGAGTGGCCTATCTCCATCAAGACTGGCTAGCAATATAGCGTGGCAAAGGACACCATCTCCTTCGGTTTCAGTGATGAAGTCGGCCCAAGAGGGACATCGCCCGACTCAAAATATGGCCATCGAAGTCAAGGCACGCCCCCCTACTCCTCCACCAGCAAGGACGAAGAACACACCCTACACGCCTTCGCAACCTAGAGCTCTAGATTCAAGTGGTAAACCACGCGCTTCTCCACCACCAAAACCTATTGTAAAGGCAGACACCGTTATTCTATCGCCTCGGCCAAGGCGGTCTACTTCCCAAAAGATCCTATTAAATGACATACGGGCACAAGACGCGGTGCAGCCAGGCCAAACGTTCGGGCCGAGGTTGCAATATCCGGTTCCCTCGGATGAAGCTACAGTGTCATCCCTCCGGGAGGATGATCTTCGTCGGAGTTCGACTTCGTCTAATGATAGCTTTGTCTCTGCGTCATCAGTCCCAACACCTCACCCTAGCTCTCCAGATAGAAGTAGATCTCGACCTTCAACCCCTATCACGCCGCGGCAAAGGGTGCCTCCATCAACACGGGCTATATCTACAGAGACTATCTCCGCTAATCGTCCACCACTTCCCCCTCGGCGACAGCAGCACATGAGCTCTCCTAACCTACCCTTGGATTCACTTACTGATGCCATTGTAGCGGGCGCTCTCGCATCGTCCCGCATAACACCATCAAAGACCCCACCGCCAAAGCCGCCGTCCCGCAAGCAGACACCACATATGCGCCAGACGTTGCGCCAGCCGCCTAGCAAATCGGACGACGAAGAGGTAGCCCGCTCGCACCACCGTAAGCCTCTCGGGAAATTAGGTGGCAACAAGCACATTCACCACGAGGGTCAGCGTCGCCGCTGGCGCGAAGAAATCACACTGCGCGAACGCAAGCGGTACGAGGGCGTGTGGGCGAGTAATCGAGGCTTACTGCTCGTTTCGGCAGACGCAAGAGACTCCCTGTCCGTTCCTACCTCTACTCCTAACGAAATAGAAAAAGAAAGGGAAAAGGAAAGGGAACTAGAACAAGCCGTAGCCAACGTGATAGTGCGTGATATCTGGGCACGCAGCCGGCTACCACCGGACGAGCTAGCGGAGGTGTGGGACCTAGTGGATAGACGTGGCCATGGATATTTAGACCGCACGGAATTTGTGGTTGGGATGTGGCTTATTGATCAGAGGCTCCGTGGACGCAAAATCCCGCGCAAGGTCTCGGAAAGTGTTTGGGGAAGCGCTAGGGGCGTGAGGGTTGCGGCACCGAAGGGGGGGAAGTAAGATTTTGCTTATACTTCTGCTAGGAGTGGTGGTTGGTGGTGCGAGTAGACAAATAGAGGAACGTGAGAAGGCGGGTAGGTTGTGTATAGACTAGAGATTGGACAAGCGCATGGGATAAGAGAGGATTGATACCCCCCGTATAAGTTTAGAATAGAGTTATTAGTGGTACTGTTTAGCCATAGTCTAATGGCCTATCTTCGTTTCTTATGGTATATACTCTATTTTCATGGAAAGTCGACGTTATAAATATATCATGACTTGATTTTTCTTATTTACAATATGATGATATTAATATATATATTAACTATCCACCATAAGGATACAATGAATCAAGTGAGAGTAGAACTTTGTTAAGACGTAAAAGTATGAACCTGGCCAAGACTAAGCCGACTAGTAGAATTAGAAGCTACTTGTCCCAGATATCTTGGTAGTTTAGGGAGCTGATAGTCTCATTATATTAGTAGTTACTAAAACATTAAAGTATAAGTTCCACTATCTAGGTTGCCTAGTTAGTTAACTACGATAAAGTTAAAGATATGGGGCTTTCTAGACTTAAAGACGTCCATAGGTCAAAAGATGTTGGAGTGCTTGAATTGAAGTCATGACGTATAAATTATAGAATAGCCCGTTCTTCTAGAACGTCCCTAATGAGTCTCATTGACTTCGTCTGAAGACCTCTAAATTCTAACATTCTCTCACCACTAAATACTAGATGAAAATGATGCCCAGACTTCAACAGAATCTATATCGAGCTAGTCGGAATTTGACTTACCTTAGGGGTAGAATCATTCCTAACCAACCCCTCTACGCACCATTCACGACATGTCCAGTACGTTTCAAAGTGGTGGTAGATCAAACGAAGAAATCAAACGACCCCGAAGAGGAACTGAAGGAAGAACATCACAAACAGGCAACAAAGGCAACATCAGGAAAAGACAGAGACCACCCTGCCAAGCAGCCAGATCCGCAACCGAGCCCTAGCAAGTCTACAGGTATTAGAACCGAAGGTCCCGGGTCGAAAGCTGGAGAAGGACCAGACCCGGATGTACATAAAGAGAAGGCAGCTGGAGCAGGTCAGCATACTGGATAGCTGAGAATCATTAGTCCTGCAGCTACTAGGTTAGCCTATTTACTAATATAACCATAAAAGAAGTCAAAGTACTTTATTCAACACGTTCTAGAAATATTCGGGAGATACGGGTGAGAGTTTGTCATCTGTAGGATCCACCTACGTAATGGCGCATTTGATGATGTGTAGGACCAAAAGCGATGATTGGATAATAAAGCCACAACAATGGCTACTAGCCTCATTAGGCAGATTCTTTCAGTGGCTACATGTAGTTAGCTTACTTTAGGATCTTAGCGTCCGGCAGTTCCTGAAACACCTGGTCCCGGCACAGCTGGCGTTACGTTTGGAGCTTAATTAAGGTAGGGGGTGGTAAGGGATCCAGTTTCCAGAAAGGCGGCGCTTGTGCGACAGAAACGTAGGAGACTTTTATTATTATTACCTACTTCGTACCTACACGAAAACAACTCCACTGACTTCTTTCTATTTTTACACAATCCAAAGGGTCCTTCTTGCATTTTGACCAACTCACTTCTGACTAATTGAATTTCTTTTGTGGCAACTCTCAATTCTTACCTTCTTGCGACTTTACAATTCGCGCGTTAATTTGCTAATGTTTGGCCATTACTGCCGCAATTCATTCCTAAGCACTTACTTAAACGTTAATTGCATTGAGCAATAACCCTGAATCTTGTTGATCTGTTGAGGGGCATTCCGATGCCCTTTTAACCTTATTGGTTATTAACTACGGCCGCTTCTACATACTTCCTTCTACTGACTCCCTTCTCTTTCGCATATTCTCTCCAATCTTCAGTTGAGAGTTGAGAAGCTTTACTTGATACTTGTCCGACCCCATTCTTAATTGGCTTTCCGCCATTTTGTCGGGTTAATATTTTGTGGTGTCCAGCTGCTCAGTTGCTCAGCAATGAATCGCGTCGACTATCTTGAGCTACTCTGACTTTAATCCACTCTACCCCCTGACATTACGATTCAGATACGATATTTTGGCGTCAACAACACGTTACTCTTATTTGTAATTAGACTGAGGTTGACTCGACTAATCTAATACTTGGAGACAACACACCTACCTATCCGGAGTTCGGAGACCGGCCTTATTTTACGCGTTCCTGGGAGCTTACCATGGCCGAGACAGCAACCCAATCCCCTCTCGACCTACCCACGAATATATCAAACCGAGGTGCAACCATTAGCGTTCCTCCCTCATCCGCGATGGCAGCGCCCGCGAATTCCCAAGTCAACCGTCTACGAGATCAATCCGCTGCACCGATGGCTAGCCCAGTCAATCAGAACGGAAGCTTCGAGTTCGACCGTGTGCTCAAGTCCGGCTACGTCCAGAAGCGAACTCAGAAGACCAAGGTGAGTAGCCACGTTATATCATAATTCTACCCCGATGATCGTAGCTGTTGGGGTATTAAACAGTGATGTTTGACAGACTTGGAAATCCGTTTATCTTGTTCTTCGGCCGAGTGCTCTCTCAATATACAAAACGGACAAGGAGAGCAAGCTTCGACACAAGCTCTGGACCTCGGAGCTTTCCGCCGTCACGCTCCTCAAAGACCCTAAGAACAAACGTCATAACCTCTTCGGTCTATTCTCGCCAGCGAGAAATTACCACTTTGAGGCCCCGAATGCGAAGGACGCGCAGGAATGGGTGGATCTAATCAAGACAGATGCTAAGATCGAGGAAGAGGAAGAAGAGATGTTCTTAGCAAGCCCCATCATTCGTCGACAGACATTTGCTCCCGTTGCCATGTTGCAGAATGGTTCAGGAACGACACGGATCTTACCTCCAGACCACGAAAGACCGATCTCCAGTTCACCCGAGCCAATCGACCCGAGACCGTCGCGATCTGCAGCATCTACGAGAAGACTTTCGCACAATGATTATTCGGGGCTATCTGGAAATGAACTTGCTTCGCATTCAGATATATCTGACAACGAAGGACGAGTGCACGGTGCATCTATCGAGAGTCTCAGTGCTCGGTCGCCCGCTACATCGGGAACGCAAATAGAAACCAGCTCAAACAACCGTCCAATCTTGGGAGATAGGAATGCAAGCCAACTTAGCGGCCTTAATCTCGAGAACGATCCGGATCGCATCGTCTGGCAAGGCTGGCTCTGGTTGCTAAACAGCAAACGCGGCGTTAAGCAGTGGAAGAATCGCTGGGCAGTTCTCCGACCCCGGAATCTCATTCTCTACAAAGATGAATCCGAGTACAAAGCTTCCTTCATATTATCCCTATCGGGTATTGTCAATGTCGTGGACATCAATCCGATCAGCAAGACGAAGTCGCACTGCTTCCAGGTTATCACGGACGAGAAGACGTACCGCTACTGCGCCCACGACGAGGAGACGCTAGTGCATTGTCTGGGCGCTTTCAAGAGTTTGCTATCCAAGCGGAGAGAGTTGGAAGCGCGGGCAGCTGCGTCGGGGAACGTGGCACCCCCTAACCTAACAGTAGCATGATGTTATCATGCAAAGCATTGTTTTTCGTGATACCCCTAGGAGCAATATGGTGAGACTGCATTTGGAACGTGGTATGGTCAGGTACACAGGCGAGGGGCGTAATACCGTCTCGGTGCTACGAGCCAAGAGTGAATCTCACATAGGAGGGAGGTGTTACCCTTAACGAAGTGTTACGATACAGAAGAAGCATCCAGGCGTACGCATGCTCTGCAGCATGATAATGACAAGAGTTGTACAACTTAATACTGCTACTGCTGCCCATCAGCATTGCAATGCAATAATACCGTGTGCTACTATATTAGCTAATATAATATAGACAGTTTTATTTCCAAGGGGGAGATTCTGCCTGTGATAGATTCCCGTGTAGCCTCATGTTGGAGTGACAAGGTGAAGCGATTCGAATGTTGCGCCGCACTTAGCTCGGCTCGGTTCATCTTGTGTCCAGTTAGAATTTATGTTTCTCGTAGGAAGCTGGGTTATAGCAAAACTAAGCGACACATAGGTAGGCCCCCATTTTACGAGGACTTGATAGTAAATCATGTGCTAGACTCAACTCATTATGTGCTAATAAATAAACTAACCTAATTACGTAGCCAGGGAGATATGGATGGGGAGTAACAAGAACCAAAACTAAATACACCGATATAGCCGGCTCTTCCCACGTAGCTACGGACCTACCTAAAATAGCCTCGTCGATCCGAAAAGCAGTCGGAGTTAGCCCGGCGGCGTAGCTCCACACACATACCGTCGCCCCAACTTAGACGCAGGAACAATATGCGAAAATCGTCGCGAGCTAGGGATCGTCGAGATCTTTACTATGTCGGGTAGGAGGTAGTTAGTTAAGTAACCTAGTTGGTTAGCTGTCACGGGGAGATAAGGAGAGAAGGGAGAATAGTTGGAATTAAGTTATCACCCGCCAAGCTCGTTCGAAGGCAGGTCACCCGGGACGAGACTAAGGACGGGCAGGCGGGCAGGTGATCGCGGTAGTGGCTGGCTACGTGCCGGGCTACCTGGATCAGGTTCGGTGGAAGAGGATGACGGCAGGTCGAATTGCTAATGCTGCGGTGCAACCTGCCATCGAGCCAAGATTAAATCTCAGCTGGGTTGGTTTATTTTATGTTAGGTACCTAGATACTGTAGTTATTGGATGATGGGATAAAAAGATGTTGTATTAGAAAAGATTAACTACCTAACCTATGTAGATTCTAATACTCCACTTTTACTTGGTAGAAATCTTATATACATATGCCCTCATTGTGATTGCTCCTTCCCACAGTAGGTACTTACATTTACGTGAGGTTAGGTAGGTTTTATTTACTTACCTTACGTAGGTATGTACCTAACATACATACACACATACCTCCCTATTTACATCAAGTACCTAGGTACCTAGCATTACATCGGGCCATAGCTAACTGTGGCGTGGCGCGGCGCCAGCATTCATCCCTCCAGCTCGACCGGCGTCAAGCCACTCATGCGAGACATGCAACACAACATACCTACCTTGGGTACTATGTACATGTGTGCCTCCTACCCTTGGCGAACCTACATACACTTACCTTCTTAGAGACATCCATCTCCAACGGCTGAACGGCTACGCAGCACAACACATATTCTCCACCCTCAATCCTGGCTTCGCTATTCGACCGCCGCTCGTCAGTAAACCGGCCAATCAGCCGCCGCCGTCATGCGGTCTGCTATATGACCACCCTTGTCTCGGTCGTGACGGCGCAACCTTGGCTATGGAATTGCCGTTGCCGCCCTCTTGTTTTTTTTTTTCTGGACCTGTCCCTTTTCTGATTTTTGGAGCTCCCCTTGCGCAGCTAGCTATGTAGCAGGCTAGCTAGTATGCAATTCTTGGGAGATTTGGATTCTCTGGTTCGGCTTCTCGTTGGATGGGAGAGAGAGATGAGCGCGGCAATGTTATATGTAGGTATACGTCGGCTGGCTGGCTGGCTGGCTGGCTGATCCCCCTGGCTCTACTAGTGCGTATAGTAGACTTGATTTCTACAGCGAAAATTAGTAGGTATCGCATGTGCTTCTGTCTCTGATGAGGGGCACTTGTTCCTGATCTCCAACTGAGGTCCCCTATTGGGTCGGGGTCAGGCACGTCTTTTTTTTTTCACTTTCTCTTAATGTACAACCCCTGGGTCTCGGCCTCGACCGATCTCGTGGCGAGGATATCCGTCCCTGGCTCGGTGTCGCGTTGGTCATTAATCTGTTGGATCGGGAAGGTCGGTGGGCTGCCAATGCAGGTAAGGCAGGGTAAGGGTCAGGTAGCGATGCGGAGAGCTGGCTGCTCGGCTTCAAGGCGCGTCATCGTGGTTGTTGGCCTACCATTTTATGTGATACTGTCTTGGATCTAGGAGACCACGTTCTGATTATTGTCCTCTTTCGGCTGGGCCTGCTGGATGTTATATACAGCGGAAGATCCGCACTCCAGGTCGCTTTTCGTCTGGTTTTTGTTGGTAGCCAGTTGTGTCGCCAGACTCGCCCACTTGAGAGACCGGTGTTGAGAACGCTTCAACGCCTAATAATATAGTAGCTGGCTGTACAGAGATACTCCCGTATAACGGCACACACACGCTCAAATCCTAATATTTAATACCGGATGAGCAGACACTGTCAAGATGAAGCTGCTCTCGCTACTCACGGTCCTGGGAGCTACCGTGCTCCCGGCAGCCCTTACTTCTGCTCAGAAGCTACCTCTGTCAACCTCGTCGCGATGGATCCTGGACGCAGACGGCCAGCGCGTTAAGTTGCGCTGTGTTAACTGGGCCGGCCATCAGGAAGCCAACCTGCCCGAAGGTTTGAATAAGCAATCGATCGACTATATCGCCGACTTCATCCACCAGCAAGGCTTCAACTGCGTGCGTCTAACGTACTCGATCGACCATGCCCTCAACCCGGACGTCCTCGTCTCGGACTCCTTCGTCAACGCCGCCAGCGCAGCAAACGTCAGCGCCACCGATATGAACAGCATGTACTCCCAGGTCGCCGAGAAGAACCCCTTTGTGAACGGCGCTACTACACGCGCTGTCTTTGAGGCTGTCATCGCGGCGCTCTGGAAAAGGGGCGTTATGACTATTCTAGATAACCACGTCAGCAAGGCGAGTTGGTGCTGTAAGTAACCCCTTAGCGGGATATTAAGACGCAAGATCAAAATCTAATAAGCACCAGGCAACATCGACGACGGTAACGGCTGGTGGGATGAAGGCTTTGGGTACAACAGCTGGAACAGCCGCTTCTTCAAGACGCAGGACTGGCTCAACGGGCTCCAAGCCATCGCCACCTGGTCCGTCTCCCAGCCCGGCGTAATCGGCATGTCCCTCCGCAACGAGGTGCGCGAGTGGCTCCTCCAGGGCACCAACGGCCGCGCCGACTGGTACAACTACATGACGCAGGGCGCGCAACGCGTACATGGCGCAAACCCAGATCTCCTAATCATCATGGGCGGAACGCAGAGCGCCACCGACCTAACACACCTGCGCGTCAACAAGTCGCTCGACTTCAGCGGGTGGAAGGGCAAACACGTGTGGGAATGGCACGCATACTCCTTCACAGTCACGTTCGCGCTGGCCAAGGGGAACTGCGATTTACTCAAGGAGACGTACGGGCTGTTCGACGGGTTCGTACTTGTCCAGGGCAAGGACTACACGGCGCCGCTCATCCTCTCCGAGTTCGGGTTCGGGATGACGGGCGGTCCGAACGATGGGCTCTCGGATGATGACAATAGTTACTTTCAGTGTCTGCGCGATTATGTCACCGGTAATGACGGCGAGTGGGCGCTGTGGGCGGTCCAGGGGTCGTATTATGTGCGGCAGGGGGCTGTGGGTGCGGAGGAGAGCTGGGGATTGCTCGATGCGAATTGGCAGAATTTGAGGAATGCAAAGCTGCCGGAATTGTTGGCGCCGATGTTCCAGGTTACTCAGGGGCCGTGAGAGTCGTGAGAGTCGTGAGATGTTGGAGAGGGAATAGGAAAGGGGTTTGGGGGGGGGGGGGGGTTCTGGATATATATTTTTGAGCTTGTATTTGTTATGGTTCTTTTTGGGTATATATATACATGGTCTGAACAGAAGTGAGGGCGAGGAGGATGATGTACTTGATAGTGGTTGAGTGGTCGCTCGAGTTGGCGTGTACTGGGCTTGGTTCTGATACCCTTTATTTAACATCCTACAGTAAAGCATAGGTTATCGCTTACAATTTTTATCTTGATATTTGTGAGGAGAGGGATAAAAATGTTTTATCATAGGCGTTCCGCGTATACAATATAATAATAATACGCGTATAACACCGCCCCTTTCTTATATAAGCCATCCGTTATTCTGCTGCCTGGAGTCATATGATGCGGACTGCATGCGTGGTCATCTCGGTACGGAACTACATACAAACATACAAATAGATGATGTGTACGAATATATGGAAATACAAAGTAACTTCTGCTCAGGCTTGCTAGAAATACATTCATTACCTTGGTGGCACTACTTAGGTACTTTCACTCTATTGTGCAGATATTTGTTATTTTTCGTAGTCGACGTGTAATATATATATCTATGAAATAGTCGTGAAGCCAACATTATGACTTAGGTACACATACACATAACACACACACATATATACATATATGTAGATAAAAAAGGTATACATGCTAAGAAATATTTACGTAGGTGGAGGCAAACAACCATCTACGCAAAGCCTCTCTTCGTCAGTTTACAAGTTCAAGCTACAGTTGTGACGGTGTAAAAGACAATAGGGGTACAAAATAAATATTTGCGATAGGTTGCGTTATGGTCATGTATCACGACTATGGGAAGCTATAGAAATTACGAGCTATCCTCGCAGAGTAGATTCCGAAGGTAATCTTGCTATGACCAAGTACCAGATACTTGCCAACGGCATCACCGACCTCGCCGTCGTGGCAGCAGGTGGCAAGAAATACGTACCTACCTAGATACATCCCCACCTCGCCGTTGCCAGGCAGCTGCCCTGCCCTGCCCTGTCCCTCCGCAACATAGGTAGGTTTATAATGTTCAGTAAGAGGTCCTTCCATCACCCCTGATCCGCAACTGCGAAGCCAAAAGTGGCCGTTGGCGGAGGTGTTGCGGAAGTAGGGATAGAAATAACTCCTCGAGGAGTTTTTCGTAGGGGCTTGGGTTCGATTCCACCGCAGGGCGGCAAGAAGGTCAACTTGCTCTGGTCAAATGCGTGGTCTAGGATCATGGTTCCGATCTTTTTTTTGTTAATTATATCTTCGAATTTCCTTTTTTTCTTTTTTTTTCTGTGGGCGGTTCGAGTCTAGTAGATATTAATATTTCCTACTTTCTGTCATCTCATTTAATGAACGTTCAAGTAAATATAAACATCATATGCCTAAATTGTATTCCCTAGTCATTTATATTCGTGGATTTTATCTACCATCGTAGAGTAATATAAATACTATACTTTATTTTGTACGTATAGCCTATCTGCAAGAGACAGATGTAGAAAACACGGGAAAACATCACCACATATTGAAAACACCCTTTGCTCCAGATATTCTGTCTAGAGTCCTGATACTATCTCTTGATTTATTTATGACAATGTGAAGGGACAAAAAGGGGTTGATGGACAGTTGTTGGTGGAAGCTACTATTATACATAGATTATTATACACAAATAAACAATAAACCTTTCCCTAGACCACACTGGTGAAATTAGAACGCTACTAAATATTATATTCAAATCCCGATATATCTAGATATCTACACGCGAGCGAGATCACTGTAGCAGGGAAACCTCGGTAGTTCGAGAAACCATCAACGTACTTCATATATACCTCAAATACTGTCCCTACATAGAGACTAAACTAATCAAACCATAGTTACTTTTGTAAGTCGACAGATTAATGTGGAACCAATATATATTGTACGCTAGTTAGGACCTTCCAGCACTCTATCGTCCGAGATATTTTGCTAGCTATAATCTCGACCAAGGCCGGAGCTAAGAAACAGATTGCTTGAAGTTTCCCCTTATAATGTGATGATATACCTTTTTTCTAAACCTGCCATCGTATAGTATTCGATCTTTTCCTTAAGAACAGTGATATAAACCGTTCACTTGTCCTGTTACTGGAAGTTGAAGTATTCTTCGTCAAACTGTGCTAGATCCGCGTCGTTGTTGTTGTCGAAGTACATCATATCGTCAAAGGTACTGTCATTAACACCTCCACCTCCCAAGTCAAACATGTTGTCCGTTCCACCGTTGGTATTGTCTAGGTTGAACAAGTCATCGAGGTTTGTATCAGTTTTGTCCTCTTCCTTTGGTTGCTGTGGGGGTACCGTTATGTTGTTCTGACCAGTTCCTGTAGCGGCCCCTGCAGTAGTGTTGCCAAGCCTAGAGGAATCTAGTGACATGTCGTTACCCCCTCCCTGAGGAGCAAACGTCGTTAGATCAAATTCGGGCATCGGAGCTGGAGGTGCGCCCGACGCTTCAGTGTTCGATGGTGCAAGGGAGAATTGCATGTCTGTGAAGCCTAGCGTATTGCTACCCCCTGCCGTATTAGTATCGCCACCTACGGCGTTAGCAGGCACCAGCATAGCGTTTAAAGTAGCGTCCTGGGCGGCTTGTGCTGCTGGTATAGCTTGGACCTGTTTACTGGGTTGGGCACTCGGTGCTGTGGGCTGCGACTTGGTTGTAGCCGCTGCTCCGATGGCAGATGGTTGAGGGGGTTGCAGCCGGGGGATCTGCGGCGGAGGCACTGGGGTCACCTTAATGGGTTGAGCTAGCTTGGGTGAGGGCTTATGTAGCTGCTTCGGAGAGGGCTTCACTTCGTTCTTTATCGGCGGAGTGGCTCTAACTGGCGGCCTGATAGCACTGGCTGAGACCCGTGGCGATGGCTTCTTGTCGTTAGAGGTCAGGTCAACTACGTCGGTAGACATGCCCATGCCCATGCCCATGCCCATACCCATGTCGGGAAACGGGGCTGTCGGCTTGTGCTGCTGCTTGGGAGCAAAGGCTGTGGCGCTTATGGTATGTGCCGCTGAGGACGGCAATTCCATCATTGGTGCCGGTGGTGCCACAGGCTGCGGAGCTGGAGCTGGAGCTGGAGCTGGAGCGGGAGCAGGAACGGGAGCTCGGGCTGCATGTAGCTTCTCTAGATCCCGCAGAATAACGGCCTTGGCTCTAATCTGTCGATGAAGTTAGTCCGAACACGACTGGGAGCTACATGACAGGTAAGTACATACAATTTCGCTTTCAAGATCGTCCAAAGCATAATGATACGTCGTCATTGAATCTGACGTCTTTGCGCGTATCGCGTTGCTCGCGCTAACGTTCCTTGGTCCATCCTTGGCATTTGCTTTAAGATGCTTCCCAGTTTGCACAAGCTGCCATGATACTGTTAATGAGGTCGTTCGGTCAAGATGCGCTTAGTATCGAACAACTTACAACTTCGTTGAACATCTTGTCTAAGATCTCAAGAGGATCATGCTTCGGAGCTGCCATTGTGGCCGGTGTTCGTTGTGACGTATTCGTACTTAGAATGGATAGAAGATAGATGGTGGGGGTGGTGGTGGTAAATAATGTAGTCGGGTGCTGACTAAGTGGGTAGGTAGAAAATATGATGAAGCGATACTGGGTTGATGGTTTGATAGCAAGTGCGGTTATTAAGATCGTAAACCCCAAGTTTTAAATGAATAGTTAGTTACCTAACCTAGTTAAGTTAACTAAACCGAGATTTGTAACTTGGTTACTCTTGCCCATGTATGTAGAATAAGGTTTCTAACTCCGGACACTGTGCCCCACTAGAGATATTAGTTCATTCAACATGCGTAGGGCTGCCTTGGCCTGTGGCTGGTGGCATACTAAAGAGATACATAAAGTACATGCATTTATTGGTCTGTAACTATACCTATTGAACATCAAACCAAGAGTCTATGAAATCTACTTGTTAGGATATGACTCTGCTACTATTTCCATCTATGATAATATACGAATATGTGGTTAAGTAAGGTCTGCACCTTATAGGAATATATTAGGTAGGCGAGGTAGTTATGATATTGGGGACGATCATATTGTATATTTAATCAGGACCAGAGGTACCTATTTGTTTAGGATGTTTACATAGGAGCCAGGATCTAAAATACCTAGGTAGGTAGATACACCAAGCTCTACCTAATCTGTAGAAACAACTTGTCATCTCGCTATATTATTGCAATAAGAAAATATGTTTCTGCATGCATTGATATGGCCCTGTAATTTCTACTTCTATTATGAAGTTGAATGAGCAGCAGCCTAGTAAAACAAGTCATACCGTAAGATAATTAGCCAAGCCATGCCCAATTCCAATAGATACTCATCTTATATACATAGGTAGGGATAGTGATGATGCATTCGGGGTGAAAATATAAGCAAGTGAATGATATGGACAGGTTGTATACTTTATATATTGCAGTATTTTACGTATACCTAGGTACATACCTAGGTAGGTACTTGCCTAACAATGTGGGGTACCTAAAGTAAGCGCACATGCAATTCTAAAGGTTGGCAGGTCGGATAGGTCAATCACCCCATGTTTGTGCATGATTACCTCAGCTGTTCAGATATGTAGGTACCTAAGAAATGCACTTCTTTCTTAGATTTTCTTAGATGCTTCATGTGGCTTAGCAACTCTACCCCACCACCATTCAGTATCCGGGTGAGAAGTAGCAATTGATACTTACTTAGGTACGCTACTCATCAGATACCTACCAGCTTGCCCTATCGCCCTATGCACCCTTAGGTACCTTTGGGGTAGTCATTTGCGAACGAAACGTTCTTGCCATACCCACATTTCTGAACAAGGCTTCCCCACTTATCCATCAAACTCGTCTGAAAAAAACCCAATCCCAAGACGCATCTGCTAGACCCCGTTTGCTTCCCTTTCCTTCCTCCATCTCCCGTATCGTGTGCAGAAATTCCTCACGTATCGTCGGTGCCGTGTGTTGAAAATCGGGGGACTCCTCCTTTTAAGGCAGTTTCCTTTTTCTCTTCCTTCTCATCTTTGTTCTCGTCTCGTCGCCGTCGTCGTATTTTTTCCAATCGGTAAAGGTTCACTTTTGTCATTTTCCTTACTGTCGTCGGTCGCTTGAGGCGTTGCATCTGCATACGTTCCTGCTCCGCCGCTATCACGTCCTGCCGACAGCAAAGTGAACGTCACTCTTGGTCTCTCTTCAGTCTAGGCGGCCTTTCTCATCCTTGAGTTACGAAGACCTTCTTCCTCTACACGTCTTCGTCTAGAATCGCATTGTATCGGCGTCTCACTCTCGAACAAGTTCCTTTCGAGATTTCTCTTTTCGATAAGAAAAAGCTTGCCTTCTTCCGTCTCCTACTCGCCATTGCGCATTTCCGGATACCATTTGCACAATTCCGATAGATTCGCCAACCACGAGCGCGCCGTTGTATTCAAGAAAAAATCCTGGGATAACAAGATCAGATCTTCAATACCCCACCTTTTTCTCACCTTTTTTTTTGTTCACGACCTCAACTGAACGAAGCTACGACAATTTCCCAAGTCGATAAGAATTGGGAGCCTTTTTAATCCAGAAAATCGCACCCCTCCTTTTTTTCGCAAATCAGCTTTTTCGCCTGCTCATTTCTGTCGCATTGCGGCAACGAATTAATATTGCACGACAATCTTACTACATCACTAAACAACATCTCAGTTAATTGTTACTTCGCAATGGCTGATACTTCTGCCACTTCCCAGCTACCTCCGCCGCCGCAGCCTAATGCTGGCGCGCCTGGATTTGACAACCAGAATGGCCAGGCCAATCCCACCCACATGCCGCCGCCGCCTCTTCACATCCCGCCGAACACAAACCCCATCCCTACAGCCATCACTTCTCCTATGTCTGCCGTCGACAAGGGAGGCGTCATGTCTCCTAGCAGTGGAGGTCCATTCCCGCGACGTGCAGCACCTGAGCCTAACAAGCGCGCTTTGTATGTAGGCGGCCTTGACCCTCGCGTCACAGAGGATGTATTGCGCCAGATCTTCGAAACCACCGGACATGTTCAGAATGTCAAGATAATTCCAGACAAGAACGTACGTGATATTCCAGGGGCTGTGTCGGTAAAAATAACCATAGACCCTTTATGTGATAAATTCACTTTCAGATATGCGCTAACTCTTTACTATAGCAGAAGGGATATAACTATGGTTTTGTCGAGTACGATGATCCTGGCGCAGCCGAGCGTGCTATGCAGACGTTGAATGGTCGACGTGTCCACCAAGCTGTAAGATTTCCCCTGCTACTACTAAAGGATAGGATTAACACGTGATTTAGGAAATTAGAGTCAACTGGGCCTATCAGTCCAATACTACTAACAAGGAGGACACATCGAGCCACTTCCATATCTTCGTTGGCGATCTGTCCAACGAAGTCAACGATGAAGTCCTGCTGCAGGCCTTTTCGGCTTTTGGAACCATCTCGGAAGCTCGTGTTATGTGGGACATGAAAACTGGACGTTCTCGTGGTTACGGCTTTGTTGCTTTCCGAGACCGTGCTGATGCCGAGAAAGCCTTGAGTTCCATGGATGGCGAGTGGTTGGGTTCTCGTGCAATTCGATGCAACTGGGCCAACCAGAAGGGGCAGCCTTCAATGGCTCAACAGCAGGCGATGCAAGCTATGGGCATGACGCCTACTACCCCCTATGGTCACCACCATTTCCCTACCCATGGGATCCAGAGCTACGATATGATTGTCAACCAGACGCCGGCTTGGCAGACTACCTGCTATGTCGGTAACTTGACCCCCTACACTACTCAGAACGACGTCGTCCCCCTCTTCCAGAATTTTGGCTATGTCACCGAATCCCGATTCCAAGCCGATCGAGGCTTTGCATTCATCAAGATGGACACCCACGAGAATGCTGCCATGGCTATCTGTCAATTGAACGGATACAATGTCAATGGACGACCTCTGAAGTGTAGCGTAAGTTGAAATTCTCCTGCTTCATGGAAAAGAATAACCTATTAATTATATGATAGTGGGGTAAAGACAAGACTCCCAGTGCCCAGGGAAGTTTCGATCCTTCGCAACAAGCATTTAGCCCTCAAAGTGCCCAGGCGTCTGCGTATCCAGGCACACCCTCGACCTTCTTCCCGCAATATGGAGGTATGTAATTTCTACCCTGCTTATTCTTGATTGGACTGCCGTGCTCACATCTATATTAGCGGGTCAGTATGGTGGTCAGCAGCAACCCTACGGTGGACCGCCAGCCCAGTCGCCTGCTGGTTATGGAGCGCAGCCCATGGGTTATGGCGGTCCGCCGAGTGCGGGAGGTTACGGCCGCGGTCAGCAGCCACCTAACCAGCCGTGGACGCAGCCGCCACCTGCTCAGAGTTTCAACAGTGGATATCCTGGATACCAGGGTTAGCGGTCCTAGGGGGGGTTGATTTCTTGGTGGAGCGTCTGGTTAACAAGTTCCCTGCGGATGTGCACGCTACTTACGTTCCCCCTATTTTAGTCTGGTTGCTCAGTAGATGGATGCACGTTCGAGCATTAGACCCTTTAGGTATTTCGATGGAACGCAAGCCACGCCAATTGGGGATCTCTCTTTAGATGACACATCCCAGTTTTTGCTTGTTACTTTCTACTCTTAACATTTTTTCTCTTTTGATATTTTCGTGGTTGTGATTCTGGCTCGGATTCTTGAAAATCTAGGGCTTTGCTTGTTTGGTTCCGTTCTGAAAAGAAAAAAGTTTCTGGCATTTCCTTAAACTTATTTGATACCTCCGAGCATTTATTGATACAGGCGCAACGATTTTCTCGCGTTGAGCCTGACGAAGTTACGGCGCTATTATTATTATCATTATTATCATTATTATTCTCTTAAGTCCCCCTTCAGGCTGTGGGAGCAGGCTTCCTGATAGCCCACGAGGAACAAAATTTCTCTTTTGATTATTAGGGGGGAAGATGACGTAGAGGTTTGTTGTTACGATACCTCTTCATAGGGGCGGATGTATGTAGTCCCAATCGAGCGGACTGGCTGGGAAAGAATAGCCACCAGTTTGTAGAGCTCATAAACAAAGATGACAAGTTAAGTTGGATCACATAGGCCAGTGTTTTCACGTATTCCTATTCCAGTGTGGTACACAAGCGCAAGCAAACCTCATTCGGATTTGGAAGAAGATTTAATAACTTAGTGGACTCAGGAGCCAGGAGGTAAGTCAGATTAGGAATATAAGAATCAGAGGCGTTGCAATATTTCTAAACTCTACCTACGATGTACAGAGTAGAGTGCCTTCGAATGGACTATGTATACGTGATGCGACGCCTGCTTAACGATCTTCGGTTTAAGGGGTGAGATGTGACAGTTGAACAACGAGAACCCTTGCTGGTCTGGCGTCATTTAGGCTCGGAGCTTTATAATCATGCCCAACCTCAACTGTTATTGCTGTAAATAAGAGCTTTTCTCACGTCCAGTTTAATATTATCCCGGGAAGATCTTTATTAAGATGATATGCCTAATTTCATTGCGAGGCAATATCAAATATTTCAACCAGGTTATTCCATTATTACAACGGCAGCTTAAAGAAGTGATACATAGCAGTGGTTCGGTGGACGGGTTGCTCCAAAAGCTAGAACGTTTTGGAGTGCCACGACCGGCCGGATCGGCAAACATAAAAGGTAGTATCGCAGTTAGATCGACGAGTTGTGTGC